CAGCAAAAGTTGCAGTGTAAAACACCAAAAGTTGCAGTGTAAAACACAGCAAAAGTTGCAGTGTAAAACACAGCAAAAGTTGCAGTGTAAAACACAGCAAAAGTTGCAGTGTAAAACACCCAAAGTTGCAGTGTAAAACACCAAAAGTTGCGGTGTAAAACACCAAAAGTTGCGGTGTAAAATTTTGTACTTGTCGGCCACGGTACATTTTATTATATGTCTCCGTCCTTCTGTTGAATGTAAAAAGACATACAGACGTCCCCTGCCCTTGTTGTTGGGAGCCCCGATAGCGAGAGCCGTGTATCTGTCGTACTGGGGACACGGAAAAAAAAGAAAGAAAAAAAAAAGAATTTCAACTATATTGTCAAATCACAAGACAGGCATTTTATTATCTGTCTCCGCCGTTATGTTGAATGTAAAAAGACATACAGACGTCCCCTGCCCTTGTTGTTGGGAGCTCCGATAGCGAGAGCCGTGTATCTGTCGTACTGGAGACAAACAGAAGAAAGGAATGAATCTCAATTGTATTTTCGAGTACTCAAAAGTTGTTGTACTCTTTTGCTTCGCGTCTCTTAGCGTCCGAGAACTCAATTGTCAAACTGCTGCTCCGCTCGGAGACCCTTTGCTCTAGCCCATTCTGGAGCCATTACTGTAGACTGGTCCGCCCACCGTAAGGGCTCGGCAGTCTTTTATCTATTTGTACCTACTTAGATGTTTTATTTTTAGATGTGTTCGTGTCATGTTGTGTGTCTGTGCTATGGGTCATTGAGCCTGAAATAAACAATAAATCTAATCTAAATCTGTATTGTAAAATCACACCACAGTCATTATATGGTAGGCAAAAGGACATGCAGACTACGATGGCGAGAGCGGTGTATCTGTCGCACTAAAGTAGAAAGGAAGAAATGATGAATTAATGAATTTCAAATTCATCATTAAATCATGTACACATTATGTTATCTGATTCAGTCATGATATCGAAAATTAATTAAGATTTGTACGAAATGCGTACAATGGCTGATAACGCTATAAGTAAAAGAGCCTGCAGGCGCCGAAAGATCTTTCTAGTCTGTGTTAGTTGATTAAAAGCAGATTTCAATCTGTGATTTTTTATTGAAAGTGCCTTCTAGTGTTCGCTAGTCAAAAGCAACTTTTACTGTGCGCTATTTGATTGAAAGTAACCTCTAGTGTGCGCTAGAACTTAGTAATACCTTCAATCAACTTTTAGTATGCGCTTGTTGACTTATAGCTTTCTAAAAATATAATGAGCGAGTATGGGAGCCCGGTACGCAGATAGGATGACAACGAAGCTATTGCTAGTCGAATAAAACAAATATATGAACAAACGTCGTCTAGCTGTGTGGGTGCCTCCGACTTCAGCTCGGGGTCGGGAACTCTCGTGCTGTTGATGAAGATGTTGACGTCACACGGCACCTTCCAGGACAGCACCAGGTGCATCCACACGCCGATCGGCAGGGCGAAGTGCGTCTGGGAGGGTTGGAAAAAAAGAGAGTCTAGTTATAGTCAGCATAAAACTATCCCATATCCGCAAAAGGTAAGACCATTTTCTTTAATTTCCAGCGCCTAAAGATTTCCCTTTTTTCATTCCTATAGCTATACTATAATACCTATCCGTAGCTCTCTTCACCACTCAAACGCTCTCGCGTAATCAAATGCAAATCTATTATAATTAGCATAGGACAGCGTTGCAACTACACAAGAGCGCCGCCTACCGAGTTGGCTGTTTACAACAACCTACTGCAGCTAGTGTGGAGCTTCGCTCTCATTCCTGCTTTCCCAGCAAAACAATGTTGTATTTTGTTTATGCTGTATCCAGAACCGTGCTTTATCCAGAACCATGCTCAGACACGGTTCTGGATAATCAACGCGTATCCAGAACCGTGTCTGGGTCAAATCTACGTTCTTGCATACGTAGAGACTATCCAAAACCGTGTCAAAAATTTGGGTAAGTCCTTTCTTAAGTCCTCTCTTGTGTGTTGAAACCTGTTTCAGGCTGTATTATATCTGCTGTTTGCTCACCTTGCACGGTGCTTTTTTTATTCTATTATTCCATCGGAATCTATAATTTATCCATCTATGCTCAGCTACCATCCTGGATAGTCCAAGTGCATCCAGAACCGTGCATGGGTTTAATTTATTAGCCTCGACTGGAAGCTATCCCTACGAGCTATTCGCCGGTTCTAGTAGTCGCCGCCGGGAAATAGTTCGTAGGGATGGATTCTTGGGGCTAGCCATTTCTTTGTCTGTGTTGGAAATCACAGTTCAAACCCATTTCAGATGTTTGTCATCTGCTTGGGTGGCGTTTTCAATGGATACTGCCTGGCAAATTTGCTACTGCTTTATGCCACCCTAGGATCTGCTTGGAGATTAGTTTTCTAACCTTGCAGGAGGCCAGCGCGTGCCTGACGTTAAAGCCGGGCCCTTTCCCCTCGTCTACGTTATACCAGAGACTGAAGCCGTACGAGGACTGCGTGTGGCCGCCCGTGGACAGGTAGTACCGGTCGCTGTCAGGCACGTCCATCAGCTTGATCCACAGCCCCAGGCTGAAACTATCCTGGGATGTAAAGTAAGAATGTCCATTAAACCTCATAATAGCAAGCGTAGTAGTAGAAGTAGAAGTAAAAGTAGAAGTCGAAATTTTTCCAGACAGTAGCAAGCAATTAGCCTTTGGGCATGATTTTGCAAATAAAGACATATTATTCGATGACCGTCTGTCACCTTTTTCAGTGCAACAATGACTGGTTGTGATTCGTTCTGCAGCTAGAATAAGTGTTGTTTCTCGCTCTCCCTCCCTCTCTCACTCCACCCTCTTTTGTCCCCCTCTCTCTCCCTCTGCCTCTCTCCGATGTTAACTATAAGACGAATAACAGATTAAGTTGAAGCAGTACGCTGTGGCTTACGTCTATACACTGTACGGTGCTGCCGAGGCAGGACCCGTCGGTCCAGTTTCTCAAACTTGGCCCACTGGTTGTTGCCGTTCAGTTAGAGAGCCCGCCCGACTATTATCATTGGTACTACACACGTGCGCCACCTACCGATTTTGCTGTGTACAACAAGCTACTGCTGCTAGTGCGGCATTACCATTATTCCTGCTTTCCCAGCAACGCATGTCTCTTTACAAGGCAGAAATGTATTCAGAACGGTCCCTTTTTTTCATTCCATTTTTCCACCCCTTGTCCAGAACCGAGTGTAAGTCAGTCAGGAGACTGTGAAATGCTTCTTGTTGTTTTTACAAACAATAAACCATATAGACTTACGTGTATACACTGGACGGTGCTGCCGAGGCAGGACCCGTCCAGTTTCTCTGACTTGGCCCATTGGTTGTTGCCGTTCAGGTACAGGGCCCGTCCGACTATCCCGTCCACCAGCCCGGCCCCGCCGTGACTCTCCACCGAAGGGTTCCCCACGATCTCACCGTTATGGGCGCGCTTCTCGTCCATAGGGAAGTACATGCCATTTCCTAGTGGAGCTGGAATAAGAAGTAGCTTACGTTTCAGCCTTTTTAGCTTTCGTCCGCTCTCCATGATCTGCTACTGGCCGGTAGAAAGCTAAAAAGGCTGCCAGTCACACTCAGGCTAAATAAGAGGAACAGTGAATTAAGAATTGAGCCTAGCTTTGAACTTTGTACTAACTACGTATACATGTGCGCGGTCTCGTCGTTATGGGCGCGCTTCTCGTCCATAGGGAAGTACATGCCATTTCCTAGTGGAGCTGCAACAGGGAGAACAACCTGTAAATCTTTATTTGCATGTTAATTCCCCATAGTATATAGGATATATAGTAGAATAAAAGAATAACATAAAAGTCTCATGAACTACTAGATAATACATTCCATCTAATCAATGAATAATGAATGAAGAACTGTACATTCCAAAGTAGAGTGGCGTAACTTTGAAGAAAAAAATATTTTGAAGCTTACTGAAGCATATATTCAACTTTGTAATAACTACGCGGTCATATTCGTCATATTTGATGTAGTTGAAATGACAGAACCAACCCCCGACAAGGATCTGATCTAAGGAGATCGACGATAATTTGCAGGATACATGCACGAAATGCCCTCAGTATAACTAGCTTACAAACATGCGAAATCGACCACATGGCCTATAAGCTAAAGCTAGTAATTGAGCACACAAGTTAAAGTTAACGAAATCAGGGTTACTAAATGGTATAACATTGAAAAATGGTATAATACTATAGATATAAAGCCTTACCGTATGTGAAGACGTCGTTGAGATGATCGTTGGCCCTACTGCCGCATGTCCTGGTGGGGTCCGCGGCGCAGGGCTGGTTACACATGGACGGCAGCTCCTCCCCGTTCCGCGCGTACCCGCGGCCGCACTGGCACATGTCTCCGGACTGGCAAAAGGAACAAATTTACATGTAGCTGTCTCGATCCAACACAAAAAATTCTCTCACCTAGAGCTTTCGACCAGTCACTCTGGTCTTACTCAGTAGACTGGCCCAGTGAGGCTTGTCACGTGGCTTCTTTGAAGTGTGACGTCAACTCTGGGTCAAAGGTATCTGGAAGACGATGTCGGCCCCCGTCGCGGTTCAGTGAAGGGTGATGGGCCCTCTAGGTGAGATATTGGTGTTGGACCTCTTTGAACTGTTACCATGTAACTACCAACACAGATTAACTTTCATGATGCATGTAGCTGATTCATTCCTCAAACTAACCGACATCTCGCACACGCAGTCGTCCCTCGGTAAGACATCTGGAGTCGCATAGTGTATAGAGGCTAAAAAGATGCCACACTGGCAGATGTCTCCGGACTGGCAAAAGGAACAAATATATGTGTAGCTTGAACTTACCCAAATGTTCGTTTGCTCATTCCTGGAGCACAGTCGAAAATTTGGGTCTGTTGGAAATTATAGTCATAACCTGTTCTAAAATATAGTATTACGTGGGCTTTTATAGACATGTATGTAGATATTGTACTACCTCGTTGGGCTAAGGCCACGTCAATTTAATATCTCGGTTCAAGGATTAACGCTTTCATTCCGACTTAAAGAAAACAATTGCACCGATCATGATAGGACCTAACCCAAAACTGGCTCATATTTTATAGCATCATTAGTTGCAGAAAGTACAAGACTAGCACGTTTTCTGAAGGTAGAATGGCACTAGACTTACCCTAATGGCGGCGTATTTGAAGCCGCGCAAACGACAGAAGGCGAGGCAGTCGGCGGGAGAAGATGACGTCATGGAAGGTCCGTTCAGAGTCGTGTTCCAGGCCTCCTCCTCCGGGCTTTTCTCAGAGGGGGTGTCGTTAAAACAGCCCAGACTCATGATGTCCAGGGCTAAGGGCGAGAAACAGACGGAGTGTCGTTAAAACAGCCCAGGCTCATGATGTCAAGAGCTAAGGGCGAGAAACAGGGATGAGTAGACACGTTGATGAAGGTCTAAGACATCCAGGTAAAACAATCAATATTCAAAGACAAATCAAACTCTACTACTGGATAAACAACGGAGATAAATTCCTGACGTTTCGAGTTTTTGTCATGTTCAACTGTTTTTTCCAGTTCCTTCACAGGTGATTGGTGTCGACTTGTGCTCTCAGTTCAATTAGTAACGTAGAAGAAGAATAACTAATGTCACTCGAAACGTCCGGGTTTCATACAATGATGACATCATGTATTACAGGGTTACACTTTTCTAAGACGGTTCATTTTGTGCATCCTTATGATGAATAGATAAAAAGAGGAGAAGAGGAGAAGAGGACTGATTTGAGTAGTTACGTGTGGCTTCTTCCGCGTCCTTGAAGCCCACATGTCTGCAGGCCACCCTGCCGTTCTGCTGGTTCCACTCCCCACACAGCGGCCTCCAGTAGCCGTTCAGCTGGTCCCAAACCTCCACCCACCCGTCTGTCACGTACAGCCCTCTCTGCAGTCGGACATGAGCTGGAGGCCAGTACAGATGGGTATTCAATGCCTGGATGGCGTTTATATTTACATGTATACAAAATGTCAAATATCATTTACAAAAACTATAAAAACAGTAACAGTAACTGTACAACCCAGATATTTACAAGCCCCATTATCTAGTGCCAGACTCTATCTCTACATAGTCTGGTTATAGAGTCTGATTGACTGGTGAAGGAAAGAGTTCTGTAGTTGTTTTGTTCTGGCGGGGGGTGGGGGTGGTAATAGTGTTTTTGTTCCTGAGTGAACGACTTGGCTTATCACGTGGCTTCTTTGAAGTGTGACGTCAACACTGGGTCAAAGGTATCTGGTAGACGATGTCGGCCTCCGTCGCGGTTAAATTAAGTGGAGGGTGGTGGGCCCAGATGTATATAGCCTCCTTCACCCCAGTGATGACGTCACACTTCAAAGAAGCCACGTGACAAGCCTCACTGGGTCAGTCTACTGAGGAAGACCAGAGTGATCTGGTCGAAAGCTCTAGGTGAGAGAACTTTTTGTGTTGGACCAAAAGTTTTAAATTTAAACAGGTTTATAGTTTGTACGTACTGTTGCATTCCGTGCTGCCCATGCAGGCGGATTTCTCCTCGGGATCGCCGTGGCACTTCCCCGGGCTGGGGCAGGTGCGACTACGCGTACGGGACTTGCCGCACCGCCGGCACTTCGTCCAGCCGCTCCACTCGCTCCACACTAAGCCAGAAACACCAACATTACGCCAACTGACACATTATTATCAATATTAGAAACCTGTGAAATATGTGTAATTTGACATAAAACCAATAAAATTCTATTGTTGAAACGAAAATTACAAAATTTAGCAAAAAAATGACCGTCAGAAACCCGTTGCCATGGCAGCACCAAAAATCATAATCTTATTCTTTTGATACAAAATTGTTGGCAACAATATTTTAGGAAAAGTCACGAAGTTTGGTGGTTCTAGCACAAGCCGTTATGACGCTATCCCACATC